GTGTGTGTGTGTGTGTGTGTGTGTGTGTGTGTGCGTGCGTATGTAATCACGTACTACTCCTGATGAAATCACTGCTGCGAGTGAACAGTGAGGCCATGAGGGGTTGAGAACGGAGCGAGCAGGAGCTACAGTGGGAGGGAGGAGACGGGGAGATAAGATGAAGATATACTGCAGGATCAAGGCTGCCCTCAGGTACCGCAGTAAGAGTCCGCCGCTTATGTGTCACTACAGGAAACTAAATACAGGGCTGATGTGAGCGGAGTGGAGATTGCAGCCGATTAGATTAGCTGAAAGTGAAACTACTGTTGCAGCGTTAGCTACAAAAGGATTATGGAGATATTTTACCCCAAATGGAGTTAAGGTTTGTGGGTCGAGAGTAAACAATGAGATGGGACATGGACCAAACTGAAAAATGTCAAAGTACATGTGAAATACATTTTCTCAATGGTTTTCGGATGGTTTCCGTCTTGTTAAGGAGATAAGCGTCGCACACTGATGTCTACTCAAGTGTTCTTTTTCTGATTTGGTTTTAATTGAAAGACTGACTCATGATTGGTCGAGTGTGGGCGTAGTGGGAGGACCTCCCCACTGTGCACCTGTAACCTTTAGCAGTTTTTCCTGTTGTTTCCCTCCCCCTGTCCACCTTTTCTACAGTGCTCTGTTTGTCCCTTGTTCTTCATTCTCGTGTGAACTCCCCCTTTTCACACGTCAACTCTCATCTATGCTTATGCCTTTTCTTTTTAACCTTCTCTCCATCTTTTTACAGCCTGCCATGCTGTAGTATCATTTCACTCCATTCATCCATTACACCTTCAGATGTTTCCTCCCCCTTTTCCTCTTTGTACATTACACCCTTTCATCCTTCTCCTTGTCATCTCTATCCATCCATCCATCGATCCATCCATCCACTTTTGTTTCCCAAGAGGTCCAATCAGTTCCTGAATTAAGGCTTGAGGTGGATTACTACCTCTCTCATTATCAAATATCCCACAAGCTTTTTCCCCTCGTTTTTGCCTCATCTCTCTTCCCTCATGTCTCCAATGTCTCCCTCCACTCGTTCAGTCTGCACTCTCTCGTGAAATCTCTCCCCTCTTTATTTTTCTGTCTTGCTGCTCCTGCTTTGTGCTTTCTTTCTTTCTTTCTTCTCCCCTTCATCTCTTTCTCCTATCCCTCACATTTCAGTGGGTGTATATTTTTAGATTTTCTTCTGAGTTTTTATCATTCCTCTCCACTCCTCCCTAGCTCCCTCCTTTCTTCACCTTCTCCTTTACCCTCACCTCCCTGTCATCTCCTGTCTTTCCCCCTCCCTCACCCCTCGCTCCTGCAAACCCGTGACTGCTCTTCATTTGCATCTTCCTCCCTTCTGCCTGCCACCTTTTACTTATTTCCACAGACATTTCCTCACCCCTTTCCTCCCTTTTGCCTTTCTCTGCGTACCTTACACTTTTTCACCTTCTCCACCTTCTATTTCTCACCTCACCATCTTTCTCTGCACTTTCATCCCTCTCCTCATCATCTCCATCCATCCATCTCTGTCGAACTCTTTACTCAGACAGAAGGGACCTACTGCCAAGGTAATTTAGCTGGATCACAACCCAGACATAACTCAATGTCCACACACTCCCTACACTCAGTTCCGTCCCTCCTACAGTATGTCACTCATCCAGGATCCTTTCATTTATTACTTTTTGTCCATTAAAGCAACCCAATATTTTTCTGCCACTTGATTATTCTGTCTGTTGGAATTAACTTTTGGAACAATCTTTTTTAAAAGTGTGAGAAAACTGCAGCGTGGTGGTGGTTGGTGGGGGTAAGCCAAGTGATGCTGAACATTCTTGGAGAAAAGCTGAAAGTCACTGGAGCTTAACTGACAAGAGCTGAGGGAAGGAGAAGGAAGTGGAGAAGGAAAAGGACTCCTATAAATTCAGGGGTCAGAGATCCCGTTTCAGTGAAGTGCTACCTGTACATTTTTAAAGTTAATAGATGCTTCCCAAAAGCACCATAATGAAGATTCTCTTAAAGATTACATATTCTACTCATATTCAGGTTCATAATTGTAATTTGGTTTAATACCCTCTTTCATCAACTGTTCTTTGCTGCAGCTCCGCCTTTCAGCCTCTGTCAGAAATGTCTCTTTAAGGCCCCCCTCCCAATAGGGTCGAGTCACACATACACATGCATCAAAGTTCACCAAAGTTGAACTGCAGGTGAAGCCACCCAGTGATTTGCCTCTCCACAGGAAGCAAATGTTTTAATCGCCCCCTCTCACATATTGGAAGTGAACAGGATGTTAAGGTTAACAACTGATACATTAACCTGACGCTAAAGCCCAGTGTGCTCTGACGTGATTGGTCAGCCGGTTCCAGTGCATGTCGGATATGTCGCCATCCACTATTGCTTTACCAGGTTTCGTGAGGGGGCATTAGGTTAGATAAGATTAGTGGCTATGCATTATGCAATTGTGGTGCATTTAAGGACAAAAAAAACTATAATACATTAGAGGACAGAATGAAATTGAAATAGCTTAATATGTCTCCTTTAGAGGTAGATGGATGAGTGCCTCCCACCAAATTGTGAGTTTTAGAGCCTAAGTAGTCCAGAATTTGCAGACAGCAAACCAAATGTTTTATTAAAGCTTTCATTGTTTGTTATTCATATTTCTAAATCCATTATCCTCGGCACCACAGACAGCTGACGTCAAGAGGGTCTCAACTCCTTTAGGTAACTAAGATTAAAAGCATTGAGAAACATATAACACTGCTTGTTAAGCAGCACGCAGCCCCGTCCGTCAAATTACAGGGAAAGTAGTGCAGGTATGTTGAAAATAAGTGAGCCTTAAAACGTGGATAGAATTGGACATCCCAATTCCCAGAGATAAATGATTTTTTTCAACAAGCTAGGGACAGAGTGGAGGAGGAGGATAAGCGAGGGATTTGTAAAGCGAAGGATAAGAATCGGAGGGAAAACATATATGTGTGTGTGGGTGCTTGTGCGTGTAGAAGCCAAAGGCAAAGTGAGCAGTGTGTGTTGTATACTAAGTGTGTGTGTGACACAGAGAGAGAGGCTCAGCAGGACCAGTTTATTCTTAGCCTTTGTCTGACCTGAAAGTCAGAGTCACAGCCAAGACACAGACAGTTAGGTGTGTGCGTGCGTGCGTGCGTGTGTGTGTGTGTGTGTGTGTGGCTCTCTCCCCTGGCTGCTCATTACATATTTCAAACAGGTGTGCATGTATAAGTGTGTGCATGTATAAGTGTGTGCATGTATAAGTGTGTGCATGCACTCCCTACATTGCAAACCATCTCCAGCTTTTTGGATGTTTTTGAAGAAGTGATGCTGCATTTAACCTTTACTATGTGTCCCTAATTGAACTTGAGGATAAACCATGCTGACCAAGAGTGTTGCAATAACTATTAATGTTGGCGACTTTACATTGTAGCCAGCGGTTTGCAAAACTGCGCTGGCCAAAATGCCAAAATTGAGGCTTCAAATGGCTGACGCATGGATTTCCACTTGCTCAGATACAGCCCCATCCACACATGGCAAGCTGTGCCTAGTGATGGTTGCTAAGCAGTATGAATGCTCAACTATAGAGAAATCTCATGCAATGCAAACAACAACACAGTTCAATAGGCAACC